GGGCAGGCGATAGCCTGCACAGAGACATTTGAGAAGCTGCATCGGGGCGCCCGTGGCCAGGCCTTCCCGCAGCAGGTCCTCATGAATATTTACTTGAGTCTAGCAGTCCATTGATCGCGGCGAAGCCTTTGAGCCTCGCAAATCTCTGCACTGTGTTATGGACATGACCTGCCCTATCACAGGCGAGGCCAGCTCCACCCCAGAAGGCCGAATTACTGAGAGAGAAAGAGAGAGAGAGAGAGAGAGAGAAAAAAAAAAAAAGAGAGAGAGAGAGAGAGAGCGAGAGCTTCCAGTTTCTGGCCGCAGGTTGCCGGAGACGGGACCAGATTCTTCCCCAAACCGAGGCCAGAACAATCGGCCTAATTCCCGAGGCAGGGGCCGGTTTGCCCGGAAAGAAAATAAAGCGTCCAGAGTTCCAAATCTTCCGGATGTTGTTCCCAACTCATTAAAACCTCCAGGAACGTTTGCTTGTAGCTATCGGGAAGCCACAACACCTGACGCAGACGCAAGTGATCCCATCCTAGCCCACATGAGCCATAGTAGGACGACAAGACTTCATTAAGCTGCGTGATGGTGACCCTCGAAAGCAGCGCCCAGGGATCTAGACCACCAGGAACCAGAAGGCCCCGAGACGGAACCGAGGCCTCCGAAGGCCTGGAGGGGACCACCCCTGGACTTCAGCCCCTAGGAGGAACTTCACCATCGCATTTGGGAGCGCCAAACAACGGCCCCCACTGATCCAGCAGGCGACCGACCGCCTGCTGACCTTCAGCGGGGAGTGACGGCAAGTCGTCCGTGGCTTCCGTGTAGATCTGAGTCTCAGGCAGAGGCTCTCGAACATAACTATGCGCAGCCCCCCCCCCCCTTGATCTTTGGCCACAGCTGTGGCCCAGGCCTTCCAGGCCGACGCGCTGGCAGCTCTTTTCTCTGCTTTGGAGGCGAAAGAGGTGGCCCCTCAAATCCAGGAGGAACCCCAGAGCCTCGTCCCCACCATCAGTTAAGAGCTGCACTGAATACTTTCTGGGATAGCTGCTCCACTGCCCTAGTTTGGAGCCCTGATGCCAGTCGGGTAGAGCAACGCGCTGCACTGTGAGAGCCTGCCTACTCTGCGCAGCCAGAGCCTTGAAACCATTCGCTCGGGACTCCGAGCTGATAGCATGCGAGCGCATGCAGGCCGAGTAGAAGGAAGCCCACTTCCTTCCATCGAAGAGACCTGTTTCAAGATCGCTCTGCCAGGCGCAATAGACTGCCACATGCTGAACACGAAGGCCGTCAGTTCTCCCAGGTTAGGCCGTGGAGCACCGAGTGGAGATGTCGTGAAAGTCCAGAAGGTACCCCCCGACCTGGCGGAACCAGAGCTGACAGGCCGCTTGAAGATCAGACGGCAATTCTTTTCCAAGTCTCCAAGGCCAGTCACTGAGTGCTCGTTCCGTTGGCGCTGGCCGAACAGGCACTGGTTTATCCATCGGGAACTTCGTGGGCAGGAGGGCGTTAGGCACCTTGGCCTCCACTGAGAGACCTTTGAGCAGAAGACCCACAGGAAGGTGCGAGCGCGTTGGCGCTCCAGCGATGTCCTTGATGACGCAAACGAACGGCGTGAGGACCCTGCTGCACACAATGAAGTCCAATTCACGAGCTCCGAAAGTGGGTTCCCCTGAGTAAACCACATCAGCCTTGGCCTTGGCTGCCCACTGCTGCATGTCCTCTGGGACTAGATTCCAATCCGCTCCAACGATCCACGGGAAAGGCAGAGAGCCCACAGCCTGAAAGAGACTGCCAAGTAGATCAATGTTGGCCCCAGCGAGCCCGACGCCGGTGTGAAGGTACACTGAGACCACAGCAACAGGAATAGACAGGCCGATGTTGACTGACATGGCCGCAACTCTGGAATCCGAAAGGGCTCCTTGAGCCCAGTTCAAAGGATCCGCTGGGAACCTGCTGAGAATTGCACGCTCTGCACTCGACTCTGTGGGCCCAACACCTGTGCAGACCGCCAGAGGCATGGAGACCTTGAAGCCTCGCTGAGTACACCACTTGCGAGCACTGGCCCGCCGAAAAGCATCCTTGAGACGATGCTCTTGAAGGAGCAGAATGTCGGGAAGACGGTCTTGCTCCTCACCTTGAAGATCATGTCTGGCCCACTCCAGCATGGCTTGAGCAGAAGTCCAGGTCCCTGGGTTGAGCGTCCATATGAGCAGGTCTGAAGGCACTCTGCTACCCCAACTTCTGCCGCTTGCCGTTGGCCGCAATGTCAGCCAGGAAGCGCTTGAGCTGTTCAAGGTCATCTGCTGCGGGGAGAGCGGGCATTTGCCTTGCACTGGTGCGTGACGAATCGGGACGGCAAAAGCGTCGATACATCATCAGAACTCTGCGCCCGGGGGGGGAGTACCTCGCATTTGTGCGCGGCAAAACATTTTTCTGGAAAACACAACTCAAACACACACCCTTGGCTACCAGCCCGTTTACTAAAGCCCCGTTCGCAAGGGTTTGGCAAGGGACGGGGGTCAATGCAAACGGGGGTCAGTCAGAGCGCCGGATTTTGCAGTATCCTGCAGAGCCAGGGTCGCATTGACCCGGAGTTGGGTGCAGGATCTTGCAGGACCAAAGTTTGGGTAACCCAGGCCTGGAGTGACCAGTGTCAGCAGATTCCCGAACCGAGATGCTGTCTTGCCACCAAGACCTCGTGGCAAAAAACCCAAGCCCGTCGCACGAGCCAGTACGGGATGCTCGTATAAAGCAGGCTGCGAGGTCACTCGCGTACATGTGGGCGGGCCCCACGGGGGGCAGCTCACTGAGGCGTTCCCAGCAGCGGCAGCAATGAATCGGTGCGGTGCGCGTCGATGTGCAGGTGCTCGGGCACCCCAGCGCCGCTGATGCAGTCGATCGTTCGTGCTGCCGGCGGTCCACGAGGGGTCGACCGCTGTTTTGATTTTCCCGTTTCGTGGTTGGGGCCGACGCGGATGCCATGCGCCAAAGGCTTTGGCATTGCTCGGACATGTGCGTTCGTTCTCGACGAGGACCATCCAGGAGCCTTTGGGGGCATCTTCCGAACGGGGGCTAGGACGAGGATTAATACGTTCCAGAGCGTTCCAGAACGCTCTTCTCAGAGCGTTCCGGAACGTTCTGAGAAGGCCGCGGCGCCCGAGTCGTCCTCCAGAACCGCCGGTTCTAAGAGTTTCTCGAGTTGTTTTCGCTCGAACGTATCTTCGTCTTGGATTCGTCTTAACCTTGCGAGAGAATATGCACGCACGGGGACTGGCGTTCGAGCGATGGCGAGAGGCGAGGGTTCGAGAGGCGGGCAGGTTGAAGATCCGCTCCAGCCTCAGGGGCGGAGGCCACCTGCTGGAGCACAGCTGTGGCGACGAGGCCCAGGGAGTGCACGAGGTGCGGGTCTTTGCCTTAAGTCGGACATGTCCCTCTGCAGGGGGAATATTCCAGAATAGATTCAAAAACAACTAGTTCTGATCATCGGGTGACTTTCCAGAATAGTTTCAAAAACAACTAGCTCTGATCATCGGTTGACTTTCCAGAATAGTTTCAAAAACAACTAGTTCTGATCATCGGGTGACTTTCCAGAATAGTTTCAAAAACCACTAGCTCTGATCATCGGGTGACTTTCCAGAATAGTTTCAAAAACAACTAGTTCTGATCATCGGTTGACTCTGTTGATTTCCTCCCTGCAGAATCCACCTGGAGGAGGACATGCCCGACCGATGCCTTGCCCCGCGGGGGCGAGCAGGGCTGGGCAGAGCGGCGGCACTCGGGGGGCAGCAGAAGGAGGGGGTGAGATGGCCAGGGTGCAGTCGGGCCCGTCCCTCTGCAAGTGGGAAGTGCAACACATATGTCCCAAGATCTCATGGCGCCTCTGATATATATATATATATATAAAAAAATAAAAATGATATATATATATATATAATAATAATAATAATAATAATAACAATAATAATAATCATAATAATAATAATAATCATAATAATAATAATAATATATACGCGGCGACCGGGTCCCCGGGCCCTGGGGCGCCCACTTTTTCAAAACTCCCCCCCCCGTAACCCACTTTCGTCCCCGGGTACGGTCGGGCCTGCCCCTCTACAAGTGGGAGATGCAACAAACACTTCCCAAGATCTCATGGCACCTCCTTCTTATGTCATTACGTCCCCCCCCCTCCGGATCGCGCTTCTAGGGGATAGGAGAATTGCATAAACATAAGAATTCGGAGGTCCGCGCGGATATCCCGGATCGGCGCTGGACCCCCCTGGCGGCGTCTCCAGCGCCGCCCATGGCGCGCTCCGCGCGACAGGGAGGGGAGGTCCAGCGCCGATCCGAGAAATCCGCGCGGACCTCCGAGTTTTTATGTTTATGTCATTCTTCGTTCCCCCAATTACGCCCCGCCCCCCCCCCTGGACCGCGCACATGCCGCTGGTCATGATTTGCGCGCCCCCCTCTTGTACGCCCCCCTCTTGGACGCCCTCGACGCACTCGGCGGGGACGCGCAAGCCCCGCCACGAGCACGTGTTTGATTCATGGGAAGTCCTTGACGACGAGGCCGTCCAGCGCGGAAGGTCGACCCTGGTATGAAGTCGAAGTCAATCGAGGGATGCGGCGCGTCGAAGTCGAAGGCAATGCTAGATAACACTTCGTGGACGCAGCAGTCGATGAAGCCCTCCGAACAATCGAGCCGCAGTGTAGCCACGACGCGCTGGGGCAGGCGGCGAAATGCAGCAGTGTGCCTCGCCTGGGATGGCACGAATGCTGTGTGCGCTGGCAGGGTACGCAGGTGCGAGAGGTGAGTGGGTCAGGGCCACGTGTCCTGCGGGGCGAAGATGTGGCACTCGCCGTCCGGGGACGGGTGGCGGGGGAGATCTGGAGGGTCAGGGTCTCTCCGATGGGCTTAGGCGACCCGTCCTCCTCCTCCTCCTCCTCCTCCTCCTCCTCCTCCTCCTCCTCCTCCTCCTCCTCCTCGGGTCGCCTGCGGCCCCGGGGGAGATCCGGGCGCCATGGCCCACTGCCGCCCAGACGGCGGCAGAAGCTGGACGACACTGCGCAGGCCGGCCCGCAGCGCAGCGGTGGCCCCCGGCGACGGCACGAGGCAGCACGACCTCCAGGGCACGAGCGGCCGGCACGGGCAGGGTCTGGCCACGCACCCAGACATGTCGGCCGGGGGCGGCAAAGGGGGGGGTGATGACCGGGGGGGGGGATATCATGGCGTGGGCCATGATATTTCCCCAGATTTCATGGCGCCTCTTCTTGTTGCATTTCGTCCCTGGCCCCACCGCTGGGCCGCGCACATGCCGCTGGTCATGATGTGCACCCCCCCCCTCTTGGACACCCCCCTCTTGGCCGCTCCCGAAGGGTACGAGCGGCCAGCACCGGCAGGGTCTGGCCACGCACCCGGGCATGAGGCGGCGGACGATGCTCGGAGAGGCGCGCTCGGCCCATCGATTCGATTTCGATTTCGATACCCATTTCGAAAGATCGTCGATGCGATGGGTTCCCCCAGGGGGGTAAGGACCACAGCTCCCCCAGTTTGGGCTGGTCGCGCTCGGCCGGACAGCGTGGGAGCCACGGGAGGGCGCCCTGCCCCAGGAGGCGCGGCCGGGGGCCAGAGGCGGAGGCGGCGCGCGGGCTCGAGGGCTTCGAGCCCAGCGGCGCGGGTGGCGCCTCGTGCTGCGCGTGGACGCAGCGCCAGGCGCGGACGGAGACGAGGGAGGGGAGAGGGGGGGGTTCCTCAGAAGGAGGCCGCTCCTTAGAAGGCGCGCGCCCTTCCATCTATAGACGAGGCCCGCGCCTTCTGAGAAGCAGCCTGCTTCTATAAGAAGCCTTCTCCCCTCCCCCTACCCCCCTCTGCGCGTGGCCGACGCTTGCCGCCGACTTGACTCGAGCTGAGGCGAGGTCGTTCCCATGAGTTTGAAGGGGCCCTGTGGGCGCGGGGCCAGACGCGGACGGAGAAGAGGACGGGACGGGGAGGAGGAGGGGAGAGGGAGAGAGGGGGGCAGGGGAGGGGGCGATGGGAAGGGGAGGGAAGGGATGAGGGTGAGGGTGAGAGTAGGGGAACAAGCTACGACATGAGCATAAAGATTCGGAGGTCCGCGCGGATTTCTCGGATCGGCGTTGGCCCCCACTCCCTGGCGCGCGGAGCGCGCCAGGGGCGGCGCCGGAGGTGCCGCCAGGGGGCTCCAGCGCCGATCCGAGAAATCGGCGCGGACATAAGAGTTTTTCATTCTTCGTTCCCCTAGGGAGGGCGCAGAGGGATAGGGGAGTGGGGAGAGGGACAGGGGAGTGGCGAGAGGGAAGGCGTGGGCGCCCCCCCCCCCCCCCTCCGGATGCGTTTCCTGCCTGGCGGGGTCGAGCAGGGCCAGGACGCACGGGCGACGAGCGCGCTCAGCATTTGGCTGCGCGGTGGTTTGTCGCGGCGTCTTCGTCTTCCTGCGGTGAGGAAGAGGAGGAGGAGGCGGAGGAGGAGAAGGAGGAGGAGGAGGAGGAAGAGGAGACGGAGGAGGAGGGGGAGGAGGAGCGGGAGGAGGAGGAGGAAGAGGAGGAGGAGGACGAGGAGGAGGAGGAGGAGGAGGAGGAGGGCGAGGGGGAGGGGTGAAGGGGGAGGACGTCGTGGAGGGGAGAAGTGGGGGGCGGGAGAAGGGGCAGCTGGACGAGGAGGAAGGGTGCGCGGGGGAGGGGGAGGGAGCGGGACGGGGGGAGCACGACTGAGGACGTGGACCAGGAGGCAGGAGGAGAAGGAGGAGGAGGACGACGGCGAGGAGGAAGAGGATTGGTACTCCACCGAGGGCTCCTTCCAGGGTCCAATGCCCGCATCGGCCTGCCTACCGCCCTCCCGCCCGCATGCCGCAACCTGTGCGAGTGGAGGGCGGCTACATTGCTATCCCCCGTGGTGTGTTGCGCTTGCGTGACACACTGCTGCCATAGTTCGTAGCTCAAGAGTGTTTGTGCAGTCAACCCGCATAGCAGAGATGGGCAACCTTCCTAAGGCTACCCTTGCATCCTTGCCTCCTCGGCACATCCTCGGCCGCTTTCGCTGGCCGCGCCCCGCTCGCAGAGTGTCGACATGGCCTTCCAAGGCCCTTGCATCCTCATCGTGCGTCCCGATGATACGGGTTGACTGTGTCAAGGACGAGGGATGACGAGGAGGAGGGGCAAGAGCTGGATGATATGAACGAAGGAAAGGGGGAGCGCGAAGAGGGAGCAGGAGCACGAGTCGAGGGGAGGAGGGGGGCAAGGCGGAAGGGGGGGGCAAGGGCGCGGGCGAGAACCTGGATAAACAGATCGGGGGCGATCTCCGCGCCGCCTACGACCGCGCTGCGCGCAATGGCGCGCCTGGATTGGTAAGGAACATGCCACACATGTTATCGGCACCAGAACCCTCAGAACCTGGGATCCTGAAACAGAATGTGCCCTGTGTATGCTGGCTCCCTCGGTGAGGCCGTCGCTGGCAGCCCAGCGCAGTCTAGGGAGCCATTCGCACGGATCAAAATGGGCGGCGTTTGTTGGTCATGTGGGTAAGGAAGTGGCTCCATGGGCTGTAAAGGGTTGTGCCAGGCAGCGATTTCACGGGCCCGTTGAACAGGGCCAAACGGTTGCGTTCAAAGTGCTTGTGGTTTTACAGGGAGGCGGTCATATCGATGTGCGTCGTCATAGTTTCTTGGAAGCCAGAAGCACAGTTGCCAGCAACAGTAGCACGAGGCGCATAAAGGGGAGGCGTGGCATCTTTTCTGCGCCGCGCGAGTACTCGGCAGGGTTCTGAGGTGGCATGAAGGAGCTGAAGGCAGTAGACGATAGTAAGAAGGAGAAGTACATGGAGATGGCTATCGACGAGCTTTGAGTGGGTGCACGATGGCGCACTCACCGACTCGGCGCGACCGCGCCCCGTTGTGTTATCAAAGGCCGCCCGCCTTGCTCGCTCCCCTCCTCATCCTCAACTCCTCTCAAACCTCGTCCCTCCTTTCCCTCCCAAGTGATCCCCCTTTTCTCAGAGGAGGAAAATGGTACCCATGCTGCTAATTGCGCTTCCCTCGTTTCCCCTCTTGGGAGGGGGGGCTTCTGGGAGGCCCGCATCGCCACCGCTGGATTCGCCTCGAACTTCTGGTCTGGCGAATAGCGGTATCGGTACCGTTTGGTGCTTCTCTCTTCTTTGGCCACTACCCATCTGCAGCATGATCACCCTCATCCTTCGCGTCATGTCCTTTCTCGTCCTCCTCGTCCGCCCCTATCTCTGTTCCACTCTTCCCTCCGCACCTGCCCCCCTGATCTCCACTGCGCTGCCTCCCCTTGCTCACTCCTCCTTTCCAACCCGACCTCCCGTTGCCCATCCCACCCCCTCCCATACCCTTTCCTCCCATTTCCTCTTTTCACCCCTCTCGTGCCATTGCTCCCCCCATTTCACTCCCTACCCTCCCAACATCTGCCCTCAGTGGTTCCCCTCGTTCCCTATCCTAACCTCATTCCCTCCCCTTTGCACTCTCTCCCTCCCTCCCCCGCCCTTCCCGCTCCCTTTCCAAACGCCACAAACAGGTGCACGATATGAATTCTACGTTCTTCTCTCCCCTGCCAGTACACGCATGTACTCCCGCCGATGTCGCGTATTCTTGCGCACATGCACACATTAACACATGTTCCAGGTCATGTGACCCGCCGCTCTCCTGAGGCGCTGTATTAAGCGCATTTCAGAGTGTATTCGCACACGCCTTTGGATACCATCGACGATATTCAGGAGGACGTTTTTGAAGATGCTCTGGAGACCGCAAGCCTGAAGTTCATTACGCACTCATGGTTCGGGCGACTGCGGCCCCTGGACCAGGCTTCACAGCCCGCATGGCGCCCCAAGGTGCTCTGAGGCATGCTACCTGATGCATGTTCTGTGAGGCATGGTCACTGAGACACGTTATTGTTATTGGCAGGTCATAGAACCAAGCGCATGTTGCCCAAAGATGGATGGCCGTAGCTCCCGCACCCCTGATATACCCCCGCTCGACGAAGATCACACTGGCAGGCGCAGCATCCCGCCCCACGAAGATCATAGGTCCCCATAACACCCGCTGTCAGTCTACCATCCCTCACGGCCATGCTTCGGGTGTGCGTGCACACGTGCGACACCCGGGGGCAAGCGGAACGAAACGTAGCATGAAGGCGGCAATGAAGAAGGCGGAGAGGGGCAAGATGATTCCGTCGATTGGCGATTTGGTGCCTCTTCTAGCGCCCACTGGCGACCTATGGCATCGACCGTCTCGCCACGCATGAGCCGCAGGCGCCGACCTGCAGATTATGAGTTTCATTGTGACCTTGGTTTCTCAGGAACGTCTGGACAGCCTGTCGTAAGATGTACTCTTTGTAAGATGCACTGCTGTATGCAGTGTAGGACGCTAGTAAGATGCAGTATGAGATGTATTGGAACGGTAAACGCCCTGAAGTGGCTCCCATGCTCCGGCGTTTAAGAGGGGCCTGCCCGAATTGGTCCATGTCCGAGGCATTTCTCAAGATTCAACTTCGTTTATGTTGTTGAGAATTTCGGAGGCGCGGTGTCTTCGAGAGGTTCCTAGCAGAGCTTGTAAGGAAAAGTGTGATGGGCATAGAATCGGACTTCGGGCAATTGCATCGGTTGGCAGCCGAGGCGCAAATATCATGTCTCCAGGCTCATGCCATATTGGAGGCAAGGGGAGGAAGAAAGGCAATGAGCGAAGGAGAGAGAGGGAGAGAAAGAGAGAGAGAGAGAGAACGAGACAGAAAGATGGAGAGAGAGAGAGAGAAAGAGAGAAGAGGAAAAACAAAGCAGAGGATACTGAAGGAGGAGGACCTTAGCAACAGCCAGGAGGACCAGCACGAGCAGGAACCAACAGGAGGGGCAGGACGAGGAGAAGGAGATAAATAGCCAGAGCAGGACGAGGCTGAAGCAGCCGAGGACGACGACGACTATGTCGAGGAGCTCCCAGCGGAGAATGTGGACGAGGAGGAGGTACATGGGCACAAGGAGAAGCAGAAACGGCAGGAGTAGGCAGAGGAGGAGGAAGAGGAGGAGGAGGAGGATCACGATGAGGACGAGGCCGAGGCTCAGGACGAGGTCGCTTCCTCCTCTTCCTCCTCCTCCTCCTCGTCCTCCGCCTCCTCCTCATCCCCGTCCTCCTCCGCAGGCGTGAGGGGTCAAGGGCCCTTCTGCGGTCGAGTAGCGTTACAGGGACGGTTTCTTTCAGAAGGGCGTTCGCCCCTGCGAGTCCACGTTTTCCGCGGGCACCATGCCCGCTTCTCCCATCCGTAACTTTTCTTGTCAAGAATCCCTCGCCATGGCACCACCCCCAGCGTCTGCGTAGTAGGGAAGTGTGCCACCACCAGGGCACGGGCAGCATCAGTGGCAGTCATCCAGTTCCCCTTCGGCAAGGGCAACAAGGGAGGAGGAAAGAGAACCAACGGCGGGGGCAAAGGCGCGTCGGGCGAGCCACCCACCCAGTCCACATGGACATGTTCAGGGTGCGGCTGCAACGCTGCAGCCAAAAAACGAGCCTGGCAACCCTGTAAGCATTGCTGGTCTTGGAAACCCGACAACTTTTCACGCGGTCCTCTCAGCCTCTGGGTGCTTGGGCGGGCGGAGGCCTTGCCTTCGGGTGCTCTTGCTCTGTCTGGTGGTCCTCCTCTTCGGCGTGGCCCTCTGGTGCAAGGTGCTGGCGGAGCTCCGGATCCAC